CAGGGAGGGGCACCCAGTTGAAGCCCAGGGGTCTCCCTGAGCTGAGACTGAGATGTGCATCCAGGGAGGCCAAGGAGGCCAGAGTGTGAAGAGCTGAATACTGGTAAGTGGGTGCATTTGAGAAACTACTTGAGGCTAGGGTAAGAACCACCCTAAAGATTTGCAGAGGCAAATCCTCAGTCTTCACACATGGCTGGGAATAGTTTCTGCTCCCAACAAACAAACTGGAAAGCCTCATCGTTCACATGGCATTGGGTAAAGTCTCAGGATGGCTTTGCCTCAGTAGTAAGGCAAAATTATCCTCAAATTAAACACCGCTCTGGTATGACCTAGCAGAGTTTAAAAACAAGAACTGAAAGGATCAGACTTTCTGAATAACTGTGTCCCAGAGCAAAGCTCACTCGCCTCTCAGGTTCACTGCCCACACTTTGAGAACTGCTGTACAATGAAATACCTCATAGTGACTGTTTAAGTTTCCGGATTAAGTCAGACAGTTTAAAAGGTTCTGTAAGAATGTAAGAACTAAGTTATTCTTGTGGTCTTTGCTGCCCCAGTGACCTTCCTCTGTCTGTGACACAAAGGAAGAAGGGTGAAAAGGCAGAATAACATGAGAGTTCTGTGAGAAGTTGGTTATTCAGATCTGTCTCTCCTGGTAGAGGCTCTGACTTTATCTGTCTTTCCAGGAACTCAGAGCTGTGTAAGTCAGATTGCGGTAGCTGTCTCTTTGGTTCTGTGTTGAAGTGCCTGCTTAGCAGAGGAAGAGCAATTCTATGTACTGTTGGTTCCTAGCTGGGAGCCCACGTGACTTTTGGTGGGTGTCGAAAGACACTTTGCTTTATTGAGATTCAGGACTTTCATCTCAAATAGAACCTTTGTCCTGTTGGACTGACCATTGTCCCTTTTTATAATACAAACATTTGTTGAGTGTCCAAACCCTTCCATTGATGCTCCATATGATCAGTTGATATGCAAGTGTGGAATTGTATAGCATGACTCTGAGATTATCCAAAACAAAATCCTAAACTCTTCTTAAAAAACAAAATGCAACTGAGTAAATGTGAGGATCTAATTGGCTTTATTCAGTGATTCGTGAATGGGTCAGTGTCCCATCTAGCAAATAGAAAGGAACTCTGAGGAGCTGTGCAAAATTGAAGGCTTTTATAGGTAGAAGGGGGCAGAAAAAGGAAGTCTAATGAATTGTTTCAGGCAAGGTCACCTTCCTTTAGGGGAACGGCGGAGGTCTGTCATGCAGATTACCTCACTAGTGCTGACCAGGTAATTCTAGATTGACTGGTTAAAGGTCACATTCCCAGGAGGGGCTGAGGCTGCAGTTAGGTTAGGTATTAAAGTCTTGGTTTGCTGACGTGGGGCTTAGCACAAGTGACTCCAATTTGGGTCTGTTGTTTTTTTTTTTAATGCTGTGGATAAACCCAACCTATTCCCAGGATGGCTTCTGGTGTCATCATAACTCTATTTTGAGCATTACATGAAAGTATTATATATTCATATACATAAACCCATACAGATATGTTTGTGTGTGTGTCTTTAAAAAAATACTGTTTTATATAACCTCGTAACAATTCAAAACCCCCAAACCATACCTCTGACTCCATTTACATTTGCTCTTTATCTTGAAATTTTCCTTACTACATTTGCATAACTCCTCCTTAACAACTTCTCATATTCTGGCAGGAACATGGTTGCTAACTAAGGATTCTAGGAGCCTGAGTTCAGAGAATGCCACCTACTTTGATTTGACTGCAGTAGAAACCGAGAATACAGTCATATTGCCGCCTTAGAGGACAGAGCAGTGACGTTGGGCACAGTTTGAAACCAGAGGAAATTTGACATTCTAACAAATTTCCTAATCCTCTTAAAGAGCCTTCCTTTCACAACCAGCAAAAACCAGCTCCCCTATCTGCAGGTGGAGTTCACTAGAGTATGAGAAATCCGTGTAAAGAAGGCGGCACATTGTCTCATTGTCCTTGGATTCTGCTTCTCCAGTGGCTTTGGGGAAGTTTCCTTACTTATCTTCTCTCCACAGTGAACTCTTTTTTTAAAATAAATGAATCCTTTGAGTGTTGCACAGTGAAATCTTAGGCTTTTATCTAAGAAGTTTTAAAAAGCCATCCACAAATCCAGTGTCCCTGTGATGCTTTTTATTGAACAGGGTGACTTTTGTTTTACGTTGCTGCATGAGAAGGCTGATCTGGGAGGCACAGAGCCAAACAGCAAATAACTCAAAGCCCCTTCCTTTTTCCACATTGCTTCATCCCTTTGATAGCTCTCTGATAGCTCTCCCTGCAGGGAGAGAGTAGGGATCTGCTGTATTAAGGACTTCTTTTGTAATAGGCGTAGAGCCTACCACTACTTTTTGATTTGTTGAGACCTAATAGGGTAGGTACTCAGCTTAATTCTAAAGCCAAGAGGAAGGCTCTACCTGTGGGAGTTCCCCTCCAAGCATTAGCCACATCAGACGTTTGACGCAGGCCAGCTGAGAAGAGTGAAATGTCTGTGGTGTGCGGGAGGTTTTTCTCTGATTTCTTTTGTTTCTCCTACATGTGGTGTACAAAAATGAACAAAGTCCTAAATGTGTTTCTGTTAATAATTACAATGAAGTAGCAATAATGTAAGGTTGTATGCTATTTAAAAAATATTCCAATTTCAGTATATCCAGTTATTTGCAAGTTTCAGACTTGGAACTGGACCTTCTGCTCAGTGGAGTAGGCAGAGTCACTTCTGTGCAATTACAGAACTCCTAGGGGCTCTCATGTCTGTGGGTCAGGGAAAGGCTGTTGAGCTTCCTTGTCAGCTAGGTACTGCTGGAGGGAGGAAAGGAGCCAAGAGTTTTTCCCCTGTGACGTTTTCTATGTTATCACTGTTCTGAACCATTTGGTTTGAAAAGTTGAAAGGAGCAGTTCAAGTTCACAGTTCCTTATGTAAAATGATAGGGGCTGGATACGGTTCAGAATTCAGAAATTTCCAGATTTTAGAAGGGTAATTAAATGCATGCACCACATAGGAATATTCCCAGTGGGATTTGGGGCAGTACCCCTCAATCAAGCACGTTAATATTTCCACAGGAAAAAATATGAATATTCACACAAAGAGGAATAAATTAAAAGTATTAATGTCAGCCCATATCAAGTTTTGCTGCCAAATGTGTTTGCTTAAATTTGGTTTTTACCTTTCAACTTCAGAATTGCAAATAAGGGGCTGTGGGCATATGTTGCAGTGATAGAAATAGAGCAAGATGAGCCTGGTTGAGTCCCAGTAATATTTAATACAGCCGAATCACAGGACTGACAGTTTGTGATCTTGTGCCTCTCTCTAATGGGCTAGTTACTTTCTCTTCTGTTCTCTGACCTTCTCTTTGCTTATCTGTCAAACAGGGGTAATATTTGCTTTATGGGCTGTCGTGAGGATAAGCTAATGTATGTTAAATACTAAACATAGTGATTAGCATATCCTGGGTATTCAATAAACTTGAACTGTTAACGTTTTGCCTCTTCCCTTCCCCCTTTCCTTTTATGAGATAAAAATGTACTGATGCAGTGGTTGCAGTGTCACTCTGGAAATAAGCCTAAGTGATAGGTATTGCCCTGATTTCAGTGGAGAATTAAAAGTCTAAATTTTTACATTGAAAACTCATTTCTTGTTAAATGACTAATACCACCTTAAAATTTGTTTGCAGAGTGACTAGACTTTTCCATGATGAATGAATGTTTTTTTGTTTTTTATTTTTTGTTTTGGTGAGGAAGATTAGCCCTGAGCTAACATCTGTTGCCAATCCTCCTCTTTTTTTTTTGCTGAGGAAGATTGGCCCTGGGCTAACATCCGTGCCCATCTTCCTCTACTTTATATGTGGGACGCCTGCCACGGCATGGCTTGATAAATGGTGCGTACGTCCGCGCCCAGGATCTTTTTTTTTTTTTTTTTTTTTTTTAAGATTTTATTTATTCATTTTTTTTCCCCCCAAAGCCCCAGTAGATAGTTGTATGCCATAGGTTCACATCCTTCTAGTTGCTGTACGTGGGACTCGGCCTCACGTTGGACGGAGAAATGGTGCCTCGGGGCGCGCCCGGGATCCGAACCCGGGCCGCCAGCATCAGAGCGCGCGCACTTAACCGCTAAGCCACGGAGCCGGCCCTCGCACCCAGGATCTGAACCCGTGAACCCCAGGCCCCTGAAGCAGAGCTCTCGAACTTAACCAATACACCACCAGGCCGGCCCCATCAGTGATGAATAAATGTTTTGATAAAGTTATATCATATTTAAATCTCTTGAAAGCTTGGTTTTAGCTGTATCTGAGGAAGGACTATTTGCCACTAGCTGAGTTGCCATTATGAAGCTCCTTTTAACATTTCTATCCAGGCACTCATCTTTCAGAAAAATATTTGAAAAGTACATTGTTGATGATGCTAGTGCTCTAACAAAGATAGAACCAAGGTTTATAATTTAATATATTGGAAAAATAGCATTGGGAGATAAGTCTTTTCCAGTTTAACCAAAAAAAAAAAAATTGCAGGGACATTAATGGGCTTTTTAGTGCAAAACAATACATTTTAAAGTATCTTGTAAAGTGGACCTCTGCTTTTAAATTTGTAAAGGCCTCCCTTTCTAGAGGAGGGAGCTCATTGAAAAAGAATTGCCTTTTTGTTGTCAGGTTATTTTGTAGAACCTCATTTTGCACTTTGTAATCCATTAACAGAAAGTCCCTAAAGTATCAGCGTCTGTTCTAATGATGCGTGATCTTGACATACAGGAAATTTTAACTGATTTTACTGGCCTTTTCTTTTAATTCATGAAGATGATAATTATAGATGCTTGCTCTACTATATTTTTTGGATTAGAGACAGAAGAATTAAAACAGAAAGATTTCAAGAGAAGAGAAATGTTAGCTATTTGATGGGCATGTGCCCTACAGGAGTTCTTAACATTTAAGTGGTGCAAAATGGATCTGCTTATATTTATATGCATTGTACCGCCCGTCTTCACAGCTGAACTATCAGCAGAAAGTAGGCATCATGTACTGCAAAGCTGGACAGAGCACTGAAGAAGAGATGTACAACAATGAATCCGCCGGCCCAGCCTTTGAGGAATTCCTTCAGCTGTTGGGAGAACGTGTTCGGCTCAAAGGATTTGAGAAGTATCGTGCACAGCTTGACACCAAAAGTAAGAAATTCTTATACCCTCCTCCTAGGCTTATTTTCCGCCTGCTGTGTTGATGTTCATCTACTAAATTGCCTGTAAAACAGCATTGCCATTTATTGCAGAAAAGTGCTGATGATGGGGGAGAGGAAGCGGGAGAGGGAGGATGTGGCACCAGGACAATTGAAGACCATAATCAAAGTAGCTAGGATTGGACTGTAAAAGAAGGATAGTATTATCAGAGATGTCGATCGAGTAGAGCAATGGATGCGGATTATGCAGAATTGCTCCTGGATAGTGTTGCATATATTTCACTATATTTAGCTAAATGTTAGAGTGATTAAAAAACTCTAGCATCGTATAACCATCTGCTCATAAGCCCTAGAATTTTTGACTTGCATTAGTTCATTTCATAATCCTCGTGCTTATCTATGCAGTCAGCGTTTGTATGGTTTTCTTATTCATTTTTGTATTCTTTTCATCTCTAGGAGGTTTTAGGTTGGTTTATTTTCTATTATTATTGTCCATAGTCTAATTTAATCTCTAAGAAAGTAGGCTCGTTAGCTTTGGTATTACTTTGGCTCCTGAAAGGTGTTGATTAAAAGCACAGTAATGAAGCAATCTATTTAGCTATGGCTCATGAACATACAAGGTTGTCCATTCCCATTCCCCAAGTCATTAATAAAATAGGTAAGTTCTCAAGTATCAATTTTGGTTAGAATATGTTGACTTCTGCTATGTCTGTGTGGAGGCAGTTTTAAATTTTATCTCAAAATCCATCCATAGACACCTATGACCTGTTTTTCTTTGACAGGGTCTGTGGATTAGCACGTCTGTATTGCAGTCTATAGTAATCTCTCTGATTTTCTGTACAGGAAATTAAATAAGGAGTTGAGTCAGGAAAACAGAAAAGCATTCATAAACTCCACTGCAGGGAAGAATTTCCTGTTGCCATGGTTTTGCTGTTGCCAACTTGGAAACGACATACAAGAGAGACTATTAAAACCCATAAATAGCCTAGACTCTTAAATATTATTTTAACGTTCTATACTCTGCTTGCAACTGCATAAAATGTTAATCTCAGTATACCCTTAAACTGTTTTTATCCAGGTATTCTGATATTTACCCTGTACAGTTCATTCATGTTGTCCCAGCTTGTGGTGTTATATAAATTATCATCACCATGAAGAGTTATAGAAAGGGTCTCAGAAGAGAATGTAATAAGCACCCGGATTCTATAAATGCATGGCCAGATTGAAAGTTAATAAGATTATGTATTATTTGTGTATTTACACATTCCCAGCCACCTCTTGATGATGAAGGGCAGTGTGAGAAATGTATTGCAAGGCCATACTTAAGCAATATGGCATCAAGTAAGGCAGTGGAATAAGCAGAATAAGCACTATGTGCATATTTTGCCCTGATATCCCCATAACTGCGAAAGCCAGAGGGGGCTGAGCCTGGATTAGCAAACTGCCTCTAACAGCACAGTTTTACAGTTTTGTAATACATTCAGCAGGGAAGGGTTCCTTTTCACTGAACTACTCTCTTTTGAGACTCCTTGTAACCTTTCAAGGCGTAGCTCCTCAGCAGAAGAGTTTACAGTCTCCTTTTCTGTCCTTTCAGAGTGTCAAGTTTCCTAAAGTGAATGAAAAGTAGGGAAGTATTTCCATTCTAAAGCCCTGAAGAAGGCAGTATGTATATTTATCTCTCTTACTCCAAACTAATAGTGTCAAAAACTAGAGGGGACCATTAGCCTCATCCTTTAGATGGGTATTAAACAATAACAGACCACAGAAATAGCGACCACCAGCCTCTGCACATTTCAGCAGCCTCTTACTGGCCATGGCACACCCAGAGATGAGATTTGGCCCTGTGTGCTGTAGATAATCTCATCACATTTTATCTAACTTTATTTTGTGTCAAGAAACTCTTTCTTTCAATATAATCCTTAAAAAGAGAAAATGCTTTCCAGTGTTCCTAAAGGATCATTCCCTCTACATGTGACAGTGTAGATGTCACTTGGATCTGTGGATTTGTAGCTTTCATCAAATTAAAGTATTATTTGCCAATCTTTATGTCTTTATTTTTTGCTGCCACCCCCCCTTCCTCCTGAATGTCCAATTACAGATGTGTTAGATCACTTACTAGTATAAACAGGTTGATGAGACTGTTGATTTAATTTTTTAACCTTTTTTTTCTCTATGCTTCCATTTGGATGGTTCCTATTAATACGTCTTCAAGTTCACTATGTTTTTCTTTTCTTCCATAGTGTCTTAATCTGATGTTAATCCAATCTAATGAAGTTTTCATTTCAGATATTGTAATTTTCAGGACCAGAAGTTGCACTTGGTTCTCTTTTTTTATATTTTCCATTTTCTCTTTATTAGGTTCATGTTGTCCTTTAATCCTTGAATATATTTGTAATAGCTGTTTTAAATTCTTTATGTGCTAATTCCATCATCTCTATCATTTGGGGTTTCCTTTTAACAGATTTTCTCCTGATTTTGAGTTATATTTTACTGCTTCACATATCTGGTTATTTTTGATTGGATAGTAGACATTGTGAATGTGTCATCGTTGAGTGTCTGGATTTTGTTTTCTTTGAAGAGTGTTGAGTTTTATTTGGGCAGGCAGTTAAGTTACTTACAGAATAGCTTGATCTTTATGAATCTTGTTCTTAAACTTTATTAAAGCATCCCTACAGTAGCCTTTGCTCTCTGGCTAATTCAGCCCTACTACTAAGACATAACTTTTCTTGTACCTGAATACCTGCATAGTCAATGAGACATCTCTACTATAGCTGGTCAGAATTTGAATATCTTCCAGCTCTGTGCAAACTGTGAGAATTGTTTGGCTTACAATTTTCTGGTAGTTCTTTCCCTAATAATTTTTCTTTCTTTTTTTATTGAAGTATAATTGACATATAACATTGTATTAGTTTCAGGTGCACTACATAATGATTACATATTTGTATATATTGCAAAATGATCACCACAGTGAGTCTAGTTAATATCCATCACCATACATGGTTACAAAATTTTTTTTCTTCTTCTTTTTTTTTTTTTAAAGATTTTATTTATTTATTTTTTCCCCCAAAGCCCCAGTAGATAGTCGTATGTCATAGCTGCACATCCTTCTAGTTGCTGTATGTGGGACTCAGCCTCAGGATGGACGGAGAAGTGGTGCCTCGGTGCGCGCCCGGGATCCGAACCCGGGCTGCCAGCATCAGAGCACGCGCACTTAACCACCAAGCCACGGGGCCGGCCCAATTTTTTTTCTTCTTGTGATGAGAACTTTTAAGATCTACTTCCTTAGCAATTTTGAAATATGCAATACAGTGTTATTAACTATAGTCACCATGCTGTACATTACCCTAATAGTTTTTCTTTGCCTGGCTTTTGGAATCTCATTCTGTGTGTGCTGCTTAATATTCAACCCAAGACTCAAGGGGACCCCATGCAGATTTCTGAACCTCTTTCACTGTGTAGTTTCCTCGTCTTTGGTATTCTGACCAGCAACTGTTAGCCACCTCAGGCTTCCTGAGCTCCAGTATGTTTTGGCTTCCCTCTTCAAAGCCCTGTTCTGTGCCACTGTTCCAAAAGTGCCTCCAGGTGGGGAACCCAGTGGGATCATAGGGCTTACCTTCTGTGATTCTTCTTTTCTCAGGGATCACTATCCAATGCTGCCTTAAATGTCTGAGAAAAGTTTTTTCAGATCTTTTGTCAATTTTTGCTGGTCCTGTACCAAGTACTGTTATGGCCAGAAGCAGAAGTTCCAGGTACTTTTTGTATATGCCATCTCATGTAATCCCCACAAACCGTGCTAGATACCAGTTATCCCCACTTTACAGAATTGGCTTATTTAGACTAACTAACATGCCCAAGGTCAGACAGCTAGTTAGCATTAGGGAAGTAGAACAGATCCTGGTGGCATGGTTAATGAAGTGTTCAGAAAAAGCATAAATAGAGAATTAAGCACAGTGAAGTCCAGAGCCCTTCCCTGTGGTTGTGTCTTCTCCTCACTCAGCCCTTGGGCTAAAAATACCTAAGCCATCTCATGAGACATCTCTACTTGTGATGTATTATAATTATATTCGGATTTGAGTACTTTGGTAAAGGAGGGAGAGGCTCAAGGAAGGAACGATTGATGGAACTCTGGAACCATTTCTTCTTTTCTCAATTCTCTGTACAAAGTCCATTTTCCCATCTCAGAAATAAAGACTTCTAGCAAACAAGCTACAAATGTGTCAGCGTTTGAAACCATTCTCCAATGAAGACATTTTCAGTAGTGGATTTTTTTCTCCTTTTTTTGTTTCCTTATTGGGATGACATAACCTCTAGATAATTACCTTCCCCTCACACTTTAGTAAATACAAAAATAAACTTCCCACCATGCAGTTTGTTGTTTGAAAGCTGGAGACCACCCTCATTTTAAGCTGTCAGTTTGGATTATTATTTGGGAAATTATTTCCTCACTGAAGCTTGTCTGTCAAGTCAACACATGGGTGGAGACTTAGAAGCCCCTTGTCAAGCATTCCTTCAGAGCCTGGCCTTCACTCATTGGCTGCAATATTAGTGAATGCTTGTTGCTTCCCTCATTTTTCAGCCGTGTTGTAAAGACCATTGAGATTCAAGGTCTTAGAGATGTAAGACTTTTCATAAAGAAAATAAATCCATCTTTTTTTTGGAATATTTAAACGTTGACAGGGAAAGGGATAAAGCTAGCATTATTTAAATGTTTTGCACATGCAAAGGGCTATTTGGAATTCTAGAGACTGATGAATGAAGAAAAAGATTCTTGTTTCACCTCCTTAGCTTTGAACTGTGTTATAGTATAAGGTTTTTCCTTTGAGTACTCCTGAGATGCAATTGGCAAAGAAATTAAAATATGTAAAAGGCCCCGTTTAAGGAAACTACACTTACCTCAACAGCACAAAATTCTAAATTTTAACCAACACATTTTTTGAGCGTCTTTCATGAGCTAGCACTTTCATATACATTATTTCACTTAATCCTCACAACTATCAGACTGTTGAGGGGCAGAGAAGTGACGTGACCCGTTTGTGGTCATTTAGCAAATGATGCTTCTGGCATTTGATTTCAGATCGTCTTACTTCCAAATTGGGAATCCAAGAAATTGCAGGTATCTTGTAAAGTGAGCAGTAGGTAGAAAATAGTACTGGCTGATTCCTAAGTACCAGCCCCATACCGTCTCTTGTCTTTTTCTCTCAATATGTTAGCAATTTTGAGAAGCCTTGAGTCCGGGTACATTTACTTTTGCACTCACACATTCCTTGAACTGGCAGTATGAATTTGCCTGTCATGGCAAAGGGTAGTACTATAAACTCTTCTTGATCCCATCCTCATTGAAGTTAAGTAACTCCTCTCCTGACCATGGCTAAAGGTACATTGAAAAAATAGTAATAAATATGATAGATGCCAGAGCCGGTGGAATTCTTGACTTCCCCTAAATACTTGATTAGTGAGTGAGTGAAATAGTACCACAAGGGCGGAAGTGTGCTTCATCTTGAATACATGCCAGTGTCCCAAATCAGTACCTGTCCCTGTGCTTCTGAGCATTGACTTCTGCATCCTAAGACCCTAAGGCAAAGTTGCATAGATGGGAGATCTGCGGGTCTTAAATGGATGGTTCCCAGCATCTAGCTGACTATTATATTTCAAACTTGGTTAAGAATCAGATCCACAACCTGCCTTTGATTTCATCTTGCATTTGATATGTTCTGTAGTGGTGAGGACATTAATAAACTGAGCCTAAGCTTCCTTCATTCTATTGACTTTCTTAGTCTATATGCATTTAGTTAATGAGATTACTTTTCTTCTTGTGTTCATAAATATTGAAAACTAGGAACTTTCCAAAAATCAAATTGCATAGGCTTGTTTTCCTTCATCTAGCTTTTCTGAAACATATCTGTTAGTGACCAGGAAATAGTTCTATAAAAGTCTAATTAGTTTTTCCTGATTCAGATTCATACACATACACCTTCATCATCCAGGTTTTAGACTACCTACATGCAGAAGCATTGAGCCAAAAGAGAAGTCAAGGATGAATATGACATTGACTGTATCTGAAACTGCTTCTACAAACTTATTAACCTGTTCATACTATCTTCAAATAGAAATGCCTAATGTAGGGTATTACCACTTATCTATACCTTTTCAAAGCAGTTGAGAAGAATATTCTTTTTTTTGTTTTTTTTAAAGAATTTAATTTTATTTATTTATTTATTTTTTCCCCCAAAGCCCCAGTAGATAGTTGTATGTCATAGTTGCACATCCTTCTAGTTGCTGTATG